TCTTATAGGTAAACACGGGTCATCATCATAAACAAGTTAGAATCATCCTGCACTATCATACTCATCAATCAACCGGTCAAGCTTTAGACCTGCTAAAAAAAGGTAAATGTCTAAGGTTTCTCCATTTAAGTTTTGGATAGACACATAACATACATAACACTAGCCTAAAATCCAAATTTTTGGGAGCAGACCTATACCTAACAAGACTGAGTTTCAGACTGGATAAAATACTATTCACGTTAGATATAAAGCTCCATCAATGGAGATTTTTAATCTTTTAATACATGCTTGCTGCAACTAATTTTTGTCCATAGAACACAAGCAAATAAATTGTACTACAATGTACGATAGAAGAAGCAAATCTAAAAGAGCAAAATTGTAAGTTTCATGCTGCATAGATGACAGCTATTGTTAAACACGTCTAGCACTAATAGCTGGAATTTACACTGCGTAAAATGACATCACGTCTGCTAGTAGGATCCATTTTTTAACAAAGGTGAGAAGGTTAACCAGTCACACTCTGACCTCCATGGTACAACATATCTTAACTTGGTAACAGCAATATTCGGACTTTCTCCTTTCATCTAAGAAACATAACATAACCAGCATCCTGGTTAACCATGTGTTGTATCCAGAACTGTGCCTGGGGCAAATCTGTGTTTTTTTGGATACACTGAGAGTCCGGAACCCTGTCTGATCCTAACCCTAACCCATACAGCCATAGAACTAGACAGGCACTGTTCTAGATGCAATACCAAGTCTTTGTCATCTAATGGTCACAATCCAGTAATCGTCAAATTTTCTTAAGGCCACATCAATTTAATTTCTTGCTTCTCAGATTTGCCTGCTTCATTTTTCAGAGTTTAAAATTCAGGTTCTGTTTTGATTATTTTTCTCCCTGCCTGCTGCATTGATTTTTTGCACAAATCCAAGAACTAACAATCTAAATTGATACACAGTCTAATGGCCTAAACTACATAGCTAGAGCTCCCATCCTCTGCAGCCAGTAAAAATCCCACCTGTGCTGCCCAGGGGTCGGATGGTGTACTCGTTCAGAGTGAAGCCCTGCTCCAAGGCATGAGCTCGCATCTTCTTGTTGAAGACATCGCTGCCAGTGAAGTACAGCACTCCACAGTAGTACTGGTCATTGGGCAATAGTCTGTAGAGTTAGGAGGTAGAAAGTAAAGTGGTACATATAAAAGTATACGTGTTGAACATACCAAGAAACTTGGCTTGATCTTTTTGAGTTATAAACAGCTAAAAAAAATTCAACTGCTGAAACAAATCATATAGTCCATGTCAATCTTTTACTATTAAAATAGTTCCACACGTATCTACTTATGACACAATGTTAGCAATGTTAGAGTGTTCTTGATACTAAGGCCTTCTATATGGGAATGTTTGTTACCTGTTTGAAAGAGTTGCAGTCTAAAACATTTTTCAAGATCTGCAATAATTACCATAAGTACAGTCCACATACCTGATGTCAATTCTCCTGAAGACTCTCTCCTTACTACTTTTCCCAGCAGGCAGTCTGCATACACCCTTTGCAAGAAAAACAACAGTTTGAAAAATGACCTATTTCTAACTTTTTTCTGCGTTTTTGTACATGACTACCAGTTGTATCAATTCAAGAAAATGTCTATTCTATGTGAATATCACATATAACAGGTAGATACATTTTTATACAGGACAAGCACCAATCATATTGTAGAACACATAGATGAACCATAGTATTTCTGATGGACTTCACCATTGGTCAGTTTCCCTTATACATTGTAACTTCTTACCATGAACTTGGTGTCTCCCAGAGAGATGGTGTCCACAACAAACTTGCTTTTCTCCAGATGACGGACAACCTCCTTCAGAAGCTCAGGCTGGAAAAATTGGAAACAAGAATTATAATCATATGTTAGTCAAGTTCTCTCAGCCTTGCCAGTGTATCTAAACTAGTGGTTTAGATTTCTTTTAATTTTTTAAAACTTTATTACACATACTTTGTACATATACTCATACTGTACAATGCATATGCTATACAACAAATGGTATTAATCTCAAAATGCAACTCAATGAAGCACATTTACTGAAATATATACTTTCAGCTGTTGCTTTGCAACTCATGCATGACACCTATCAGTCCATCTATGTACTGCAGTATAGATGGCTTCTACAATCAGCTTGCCTTGTAGTGCTACATTTGCTACAAAGACTGACAAAGTCAATGAATTACATGTAAGACACCACAATAAATGGTCAAAGAAAAAGAGACTACCTTTTTCTTATCCCCACTAGAGTAAGATGAGTGAGTCAGAAGGATGTCAATGTCACCAGAAGATGCTGCACCTACAAGAAGTCATATTCAAGTTATGTTTTTAACAGCAGTAGAATTATCCTTCACACAGTCTGTTGTTGGAGCTTTCATAGGTGTATACTAGTATTCCTTTCAACCAATTCAATGACTTATTACCATAGTGGTAATGATGATGATGTTATATTTCGGTGCTCAAATTTTCAAAAAGGATTAAAAAAACATGGATCTATGACAATTACATACAGTGAGTTATAAACTGTGTTCTTTTTCATTGCTTGATATGATACTAGGCATACCAGATGATTTGTGTTCTAGTAAAGAGTGTACTGTGTAAAACTTCCTTACTTACCTCTTCTGAAGCTGCCACAGATGGTGGCCACATAGTCACTGTCCAGTTGGTTGATCTCCCCGTGAATCAGTGACTGCAACAAACAAAAAATGTTGTTTGAAAAAAAAAGATCTACAAGGGCCTAATATCTAAAAGCTGTTGACCCTTTGTATAAGATGACTTTGACATTGATAATGGACTTGGTTAGGCAACATTTGCACTTTGAAATAGCAAATACAAAGGAGAGCTTACAGCTGATTTTGTGTCTGATATATACCTAAGGAAATGACCATCTGGGATGGTCTCGCGTCACGAGCCGGTAGTCTCGGTTTGGAAAACCGCTTAATATGCCACCGCGGCTCGCGGCACTGGCACGAGCGGCGGTTCTATAATGCCGTCAAACCAAGATGGCGTCGACCACCAGCGGGATTTTTTCCTGCTATTGACAGGCTGTAGACTGTCAGTACATCATACATGGATTATCCCAGCTACTTACTGCATTGCTGTACATAGCAAGAATATTTAGTTATGGAATCATAGAAACAAAACAATAAATGCCTGTATCACAAGGCCCTGGTCTCCATACACGAGTTGGGCTAACAAGACCATCTGAGATAACATTAACGGAAGGGGTCCTTAGTGCCTAGTCAGGCTGGAGTCCAAAGTCCGGCATAGTTAAGTCATAATGGAAACTGCCACAAGAGGCTGAAATTCAAAATGCTGTCTGACCCTGTCTATTTGGTCCTGGTCTCTATACCAGTTGGGCAAACAAGACCATCTGAGTTATGTTTTACGGGAGGGGTCCTTAGTCGGGCTGGAGTCCAAAGTCCGTCATAATGGAAAACTGCCACGAGAGGCGGAAATTCAAAATGCTGTCTCTTTTCGAGGGCAAGGACTTTTAGAATAAAACCTTTTGGTTTCCTCAACTCCACAGTACCCGTACTGTTATATTTGATACCAATATTAACACCAGTGTGCTTAATTAACCCAAAGAGCCACGCCTCCAATGTCTTATAATGGCCAACTGCCACGAGAGGCGGAAATTACAAATGCTGTCTCTTTTCAAGGAGAAAGACTTTTAGAATAGAACTTTTTGGCTTTCTCCTGCTTTCTACGGTACCCGCACTGTTATATCTGATACCCATCGTAACACCAGTGTGCTTAATTAACCCAAAGAGCCACGCCCCAAATGTTTCATAATGGGAACTGCCACGAGAGGCGGAAGTTCTAAACGCTGTCTCTTTTCGACGAGGAAGGCTTTAAGAGTAGAACTCTTTACCAACTCCACAGTACCCTACTGTTATATTTGATACCCATATTAACACCAGTGTGCTTAATTAACCCAAAGAGCCACGCCCCTAATGCCTTATAAAAAAAACGCCACGAGGGGCGGAAATTCAAATTCTTTTCGACGAGAAAAACTTCTAGAATAGAACTTGACTCCAACATCTACGCAGTACCCACACTGTTTCATATGATGTGTATCTTACCACCAGTGTGCTTAATCAACTCGGTGACCCCACAGTGCGGTGACCCCAAGCAAAGTTTTATGTCCCCCATCTCTTTAATGTGACATTCCAATTTCCGGCACGAGCGGCGGTGCCACGAGCCGCGGTGCCACGAGCGGCGGTTCTCTCGGCTCGAGCTCATCCCTACTCGAAATGACAGTAACATGAACAATCTACAGTTCAAGGGAGACATCTAGCAGTTTACACATGTACTACACTTGCTGCTATACTCAGTTTCCATATTACAAAATGTAGATTTTCTTTTAATTACCTGCATTTCAAGCATTTCTTCTCTGGGAATTCTTTTCTCAAAGTCTTCAAAATACCTAGAGTCAAACATTAAAGATAAATTTCTTGCATCAGTATGTTAGCAGGGTATAGAATTTTCTTCTTACACAACCATAGGGTTTCTCACCTGCTTACGTTTCGATGTCTATCTGACACCTTCCTCAGAGCTTCTGACTGAAGTTCTGCAACTCGCCGCTATTTAACGCCAAAGTAGGTGGCGCTTTTGCGTCGAGAATGCAATCCCAAACGTGGCTGAGCTTGTATCCCCCCTCGTCCCGGTGATTGCATTCTCGCCGCAAAAGCGCCACCTACTTTGGCGTTAAATAGCGGCGAGTTGCAGAACTCCAGTCAGAAGCTCTGAGGAAGGTGTCTGATAGACATTGAAACGTAAGCAGGTGAGAAACCCTATGGTTGTGTAAGAAGAAAATTCTATACCATAAGTATCTTCCAACCTGATGAAATTATTTACGGGGGAGTATGTTAGCAGTTTTATAATGACTAGTAAAGCCATCTGCACTGTCATTTATTGGTATTACAAATATAAATTTGATTCTCATGATCACAACATTCTTTATGAAAGTGGAGGCAAGACTGAAGACTTACTTGAGCCCAAGTTGTTGATGGTGGTTGAGCTTGCCTGGGTTCTTCCTGAGATCTACATGTTGGATAATCAGCAAAATCAATCAAAAGTCACTACAACTTTCAAAACACCAAATGGGAAAGTAAATATTACTCATATACAGTAGGGGCATGATCACTAGATAGGTTTAAACAACATCTACAGTTAGATGTGCAAACACCAGGTGTGACAGGTCATAGTCTGACCTACCTTCAATGGTTGTTATGCCTTCATCAACCAACTTCCTTGCAGCTGCAGGTCTGTAATTTCAAACCAACAAACACTTCTTCATGAATCAACTTCATATTATGAACAAAAAAAATATTGTTGAATGTAAACTTACGATATCTAAGGATGGAGTTAAGTATACACAGGGCTTGAAATATCACCTGGCACCTTTGTACATGTACTAAAGTGCACTGCAAGACTATCATACCAAACATGAGGAGAAACCCACCCAATTCCAGTCACTCTGGTCAGGAGGTTGATGGCCTGGTTTGTATCACTGGCTCGGATCTGAAAATAAACACAACACCATAACATCTGCACACAACACTATAACATCTGCACACAACACCATAACATCTGCACAAAACACCATCACATCTGCACACAACACCATCACATCTGCACAAAACACCATAACATCTGCACAAAACACCATCACATCTGCACAAAACAAACACCATAACATCTGCCATTATTAACCTTATCCCTGCTATCTCACCTCATAACTACTATTAACATTAAGTTTGTGCCAAATGGCTATCTTGGCATGCGGAAGGTTAATTGTTTAGGATTCTGGTAGATATTACTACAGTGTATAAAGTATAAGTCTTTTGACAATTTGGTTATTTTCATTACTTAATGCAAAAGTCAGGATATCTACCTACCTTTTCTAGCTTTTGCAATGTCCCAGTTTGGACAAACTCATCGATTTTCTTGGCAATCTTCTCTCCAATTCCATCCTATACAGTGAAAAGAAGTATCATAACAAATCACGTGAAGAAATGAAGTTACTTTCAATAGCACATTTGCATATTGGAGTAAAAGGTATACGTGTGTAAAGGTAATCCCATTGCCTTTTCAGGCCGTAGGGGCAGTGGTTTGGTAATCAACTCTGCCTAAGGCATGGTAGTAGAAGTATAGAAGGCAGACCTTTCCTTCCGGATTCCACTGCTTTTTGCCACCCCAACAAAAGTCAGGTACCCATTGTACACCTTGGTAATCTCCAAGCAGATCATACGGTGGCAAGGCAGTATCCATTGGCCAGAGGAGTGTCCATTAGCCACCGAAGATCTGCCTGCAGTCGAAACGTCAAAGGCTATTAACACCTAGTTGTTGCCTACTCAGAATGTGTTTGCCAAGTAGTTTATTGCCCTAACCACCGGGCAAGGCTATTGTCCTCCTTGTGGGGCTGCATGGTTGGCCGTTACAGGAAGTCTGTCTATGGGTCACAACACCAACTGTTATACATGTATTGGGCAGTTTAAACAATGGATCCGGAGGAGAAGGTTCACCTTGTGTTTTGTAATGTCTGGCATGGGGTTTTAAATTTTAACCATAAGTATCCATGTTTCAGAAAGCATCACAGTGCCAGCATACAGAATTGTATCTGATTCAGTTAGGGGGGGAACTCCCACTGAGATGTGCGCGGGTGACTGAATTTGTCCCAGATTCAAGCTATAAACCGCTTGTAAAAACCTTAGCGTGGCCAGTTTTTCAATTGCTGTTAATAGGGGCACAAGGAGGGGCAGCAACACAATTTTTGAAAGGAAGTGCTCCTCCCTGTGCGAGTGCAGGCAGATCTTCGGTGGCTAATGGACACTCCTCTGGCCAATGGATACTGCCTTGCCACCGTATGATCTGCTTGGAGATTACACCTTGGTGGAGTGAGGAAAGCTGTGCAAAAACAAGCTAGAATTTGAATAGCTCACCAGCTTTCTAGCCTCTGTGCCATTCCTTATTCTTGTGGGATGTTTGGCCAGCACACTCGCAGCTTTCCTGTAATGAAATGATAAAATGTTGCATAAAATCATTTCCTGGAGTGAAGTGACAAAATACTGGCCAATTTCCTTTAGTTTGTGGCAAGTTTCTTTCCTCAAAGTTATACATATGTCAAAAGTCTTATTCCCCTATAGGGGGACCTGATAAGCTTGTCAACAGAACATACAGTACTGCACCTGTGAACCTTGAAACACAACGTACATAGCACTTGTAGAGGACGTATTGTTTAAGATTGTGTTCTAGTGTCTGTAGTTTTCAAATGATGCGTTGGGAAAGATATCGATATCTTATGCAATGGACAAAATTCTGGTGCAACATTGACCAAACATCTAACAGAAACCGTGATTTTGCACAGAGCCAGTACATTTTGCTGACAATGTACAACAATGTGCAAAGTTAAATACACACCTGTAAGCATTGTACTTGTGCATCTGCCGGTTGACATTCTTCTCATAATTGGCCAGTTCTGTGGTAGGAAAGAAAGAAAAATACTAGTAACCTGTTATGACTGCTATGCTATAATTTCCTGTGATGTTCATAGCACTTCATGATCAATGTAGTCTTAAGAACTTGTAAAAATTACTTTTAAGTTATCCACAAAATACTAGTATACTGCATTACGAAAATACAGAAGCGTGTGAAAAAATTAAGGGGGAGGGGGGCGAAAACGTCTGCAAATAAAAATTACCAACCAGTCAGAAAGTCGCAGAAGTCTGAATTGACGTTATCGGCGATTCCCTTTCTTTTACTCATGTCGTCTGCGCACTTAAGTGTCCTGAACGTGTGGACAAATCTTCCAGATCGTCTAGAATTTATCAATATACGCCCAAACATGTACCGACAAGCCCAGAAATATCCTTTGTTTTGCCTTGCAGACAGCAAAGAAAAATGGCGTCTGTCAGCGTCATTAATGGACTATACCATAATAGGGGGATTAAGGACGATGACAATTATATTTTCGCGACATAATGATTTTACGACAATTATTAATACATAAATAAAATAAACAAACGCAACAAATTATATCATTTGATGATATTTTTTTCTATAAATTATAACAAATATACCGTCATATAAAATCAAATTTACTTCCCTTTTCATCTTTCCAATTGGTAGACTCCGACTCAAAGGTCATACTGTACAGAAACGTCACCTTTCAATAGTTTACAGTACTGCATAAGAGACAACAGCTTGTATTTAACCTCCTCGTATAACGTTGTTCATCTTTTAGGCAGGCTTTCAAAGTTTGAATACTAACTATAACGTTATATTGTAACGTTACATGACACCATAGGTGACAAATTTGCCTCTGAAATAACATTTTTGCATCCGCTTACAACGTTTGCTACTTGCAGGTTACCTGTTAACGTTAACGTTAATGTAACCAATCAAACGATGCACACAAGAGTAATTAAGTGTCTGTCAGAGATGTTAGACTGTCGAGAAACGTTACAATTGTCCACCCCAACATCTGCTTGAAAATGAAGATGTGACACCCCCACTCCCTAATATGGGCTCGCCTGGATGAACATTTCCGGTTGACCTTTGAAGACCGGAAGCGGTGTGGCAGTCCAGGGAAGACGCTTGTCGGAAACTGTCAAACCTCAATCATGAGTCGTCCGGACATCTTCACGCCTCTACTGTCACTCTTACCGCGGCTGCACCAAGTCGTGCGCTCATAGCTAACGGTGAGGAACTTTGTCATTTATCTCTGGTTATTTAGATACTACTAGTACTTTAGTAACGGGGTAAAATGCCAGAGAGGGGCGGTACTGGAGCTGCGGTGTTGTGTAGCGTTTGTCAGATCGATTCCCGCCCAGTAGCTAAAATAAAACATGACTTTCCTTGTTGTAACATTAGCATAAGATTGCAGAAGTTATTGCAACCATAAAATTATGTAGCTGTGGAATCATACCATTGGCTGTCCGATTACGCTAACAAGTTGCGTGGACTTCTGTGATTTGCCTTGTTGTTTGTCATAACGTTACTATACAGTGATTTCGGCACGCTGGCTTCCAGCTCAGGACAGACCTTCCTTTGTTTCATGAAAGTCAAGTTTCCTGGTTATTGTCGTCTGACAATTGTTGATGATAACTTTACCCCAAGGGAGTGACATAAATTTTGGCTTGTCTGTGGGTGTGCCAGTCTTTGTGTGTGTTTCTGTCAGGGGGTGAAGTCTGCCATCACTGATTGTCTCCTGATTTTTCCAGCCCAGGCGTGTTGCAGTGTGTCCAGGAGGAATGGAGGTGGGCCTGAGGTTCCTGGCTGTTGTCGTCCTGTGCACCGCGGCCCTGGGACAGAACAAGGACCCGTCATTCGACCCCTACCTGTCCTCAGCCCCACAGGTGGGGGCAACGCAGGGAGACAGTGTCAGACTCAGGTGCCACATACGCAACAGGAACAGGGAATACCTCATCTGGCAGAAGGGGAAACTCTCCATCTTTGTCAACGACCAGGAGGTCATTCGGAACGACAGATACTCTCTATTCACACAACAGCTGGGAGACACAAGTTATCAGTACGATCTCGTCATCGCAAATGTGTCCATTGAGGACGATGAGGACACTTACAGATGCATTGTCTATACAAAAACACCACGGACGTTAAGTATCGAGTTACTAGTTGTTGTGCCTACAACGATAATGTACGCATCGCCGAGTCAGGCCGTAGAGAAAGGTGAGGATGTGGAGTTGTTTTGTAATGCGACGGGACGCCCTGAACCCGAAATCAGGTGGGTTAGAACTAGAGACGGCGCTACGTTCGAAGAGAACCCATTGGTTATCAGAAGTGTGACTGAAAACGATGCCGGTGGTTACCAGTGCTATGCCAGTCAGCAAGTTGCCAACGCGAGACATTCAGACATAAGGACAGCAGAAGTGACAGTGTATTACAGACCAGTCATCAACCTTCTACTGGTAAGTGTACATGTGGCGTTTGGTAAGCGTTAAGAATGTTGGACTCCCTCCTGAGTTTCTTATAGACCTGACAGCTTCATAGGGGGTAACATACATGTATCTGGGATTAGTCATGGGGATTTCATTGGTTCCTTGTAATAGTTGCCACTTTCCTCTGGACTTATCTAAACAATCTGGATTCAGCTCTGGTAATTTGAGTCCATCACTGTCTTCTTTAGTTTGTATAACAGTGGAGCTCACTGCCTGTCAAACAAGGTGTTTGGTTTGTCTGATGGTTTGTGTGTGAGAAAGAGCGACAGAGTCTGACTGAAAGGCAACTGTACTCCCAGTCTCCCACCGAAAGCCAGTGCTTGTTTTCCTGACAGTAATCATTTGTCCCCTGCCTGACCCTGTCAAGCTACTTTCATGCCTACTTCTGGCCAATTTCACACACCCCTACCTCCCGCTGAAATGCAGGAAATATTACATTATAGCCACTTCAGGGACCCAGACAAGCCATTCAGAGAATATCCTAACAGGGTGTGTTCCCTCCCCCTGTACCAGGACTTGTACACATGGAATGTTCGGGAAGTCTACAGATGGTGTTGCAATGCAAGTTTGGCAGAGGACATTGACGCAACAGGAAATTCACAAGTCCCGGCTTGTTTAATGTCATGATTGACGCTCCCTTGCCCACCCACCCACAGTATGGTCGCTATCAGCTATGTCTAACCACCAGAGTATTTAAGTAATTCAGTCATGTTTAGTCCTTGTATTTCTGACAATTGAAGACTGACTTGTTATTGAGGTGGGTCCTTTTTTCCTTAAAACGGGTGTGAAAAATACATGTAAAGTCGCTGGCCTTTTTTTTCTCCCAAGCATCTGGAGGAAATGTTGGCTGCCTTTGGTTCTTTGTTGTGAAATGCCTTTAGGTCACGCCTTGTGGCCATGTGAGTTGTTCATTCGCTGCTGGATGCTGGATCGAATTTCGACCACACTTTCCGCAGGGTAAAGGCCACTTTCTCTCTACCCCAAACATTTGGTATTGTGGTTTTTTCAAGTACTGTGTTTTAGCACTATAGTCAATGCAGGAAACACACTGAGACTTAAAGAAGCAAAATCACTATGTCAACAGTAGCCTCTACCAGGCTTTAGAAGTGGCTGAAAAGAGTAGAAATTGATCAAATAGACAGATAACATGCCAGGGGAGTACAATTTTAGAGGGACAAACTGTATTGCTTTGGCAGACCAGCTCTCTTGGCATTTTATTTGTCTATTATGCAATATTTCTACTCTTTCTAGCAGCTTCTGAAGCCTGGAAGAGGCTAGATATTATGTGAACAGCCTTTATACAGTCGAAATGTTACCAACATGATCATGTTACCAAACATGTGCCTACCCAAGTTTTTCAGGTCAACACCAAAACCACAGAGTTGATTCCCTTCCTGTTGGCTTTCCCTAAAATACACACATCTGGGTGGGTGTGGGATGGGGTAGGGTTAAGCAGTAGAAATTCATCCTTGTGAAATCCTGGCTGGTATATTGTGCTTTTGAATACTGTGATTTTATAGAATCAATTAATGTTCTTAAGCATTGAGAGTGACTGTTATACCACAAAAAAAAGAAAAATAGTTTTTTTTACAGTATATTCCCCTTAAATTTCAGACTTGAATACAACATTGTTATTTTTCATGTTGAACTTCAAAATACATTTTTTCTATTGTATACCATGTTATCAGTGGACAGGGATTGTACATACATCATTGTCCCAAGAGATCTCATTCTTTACCAGTAACCCCACCTATTTAATGAATAGGTACTGTTAATACCAGTCATTCAACTCAGCAGATGACGTATGTGCTACAAATAGTACACTGTCGGAATTTATGACGTCAAATGTTATAACATAACTCTGTCATGAGCACACTTGCTAAGGATATGGCCCAATTTCTTTAAACAAATTACCATTTAAAGTGCCAGAGGACTAGTGTTGATGAAGGATCTTTAATCTAAGTGATTGCAGAAGCCAATCATAAAACATTACTTTACACCAGTATACTGTAAAATTATGGCTCAAAATATATTATGATAATACATATATTTGTAAAAAGAGGCGCTTCATACACAGCCACAACTGAAAAAAATAATATTTTGTAAAATTTTGTCTCAAAATATGTACATGTATTTGTAAGAGGAGCTGCTGCTTTATACATAGCCACATTTTTCACAGTGGTGCTCTGTGATTTATTGTCACTCACTATTATGGGAGACTTGAATGAAAATGTTTACTTTGAAATATGGCCTAGATACTGGGATAAATAGAGACTCCACGCCCATGGGTCTTTTGAAACATTTTCCTTATCTAAGCCAGATCTAAGCCATACCAAGGAGGTTATCTACCCTACACTAGTAAGCTCCTTGGCCATTCCAATTTGATTTCTGGATCTCAGAATTTTGTAGGAAATTGTGGATCATTTGATTTTGACTTTATTTGGATCCACATTTCAGAGTCAGAGAGTGGAGTGGCCTTATGACAACAAGGCCTTCTGTAGAAAGAAAACGTCACTCCCATAGCTGGGTTGAGCTCGTATCCAACATCTGAAACTGGAGTTGTATATTCAAAGCACAGAAAGGTCTTTGTCAATGTTAGCCAATGCAATGATTACATTGCATTCTTGGGACCCATCCAAGTTTAGGGGGTGTACACTGTACAGACAAATTTCTTTTATTAAGTATAGATATAGGTACCCTGCGGATAAAGATGCCATATCTTACATATAGAATTTGAGAACATCATTAGTCAAAAGACATCTTAATTGCTTTAGGTTCCCAACAGTAGTTGGATGATAACAGTGATTCCACATAGCTGTGTTTGCCATTGGGCAGCCCAGAGGAAAATCACAACCAACAGGTTACTGTCAATCTTCAAATATTCACTGTGGTTATATGTTGGCAGGTAAAGTTTTCATGTACACAGTACAGTTCAGAGCATGGTGGTCTTCATGTCATAGTTGACACTATCTCTGACACATTGGGCATACCAGGGATTGAGATACAGTCCATGCCCATACTAGCCTGGGTGCCATCCCAGTGACTCAGTGCATAGCCTCTACCAGGCTCCCTAGGCCACTGGAAAATAGACTAAATAATATGCCAGGGGAGTTAGCTGCCTAGAGAGTACCAACTGTAGGTTGCAAACTATCCAGCTAACTCTGGTGGCATACTATTCAAATGGGCAATTTCTAGTATTTTTCCATCAATTTGGGAAGCCTGGTAGAGTCTATATTCTACATGTAGTTTATGCCATGGCTCCTATATGATATAAATATTATAAATGTATACTAATTGCTAGTGGGAAGTATTGGAGGCCCACCATGAATGAACAAGGATAACGCCCAGGCTATGCCCATACATGTACATATTTCCCCTGTAGATGAGCCCTGTGTGTGTGTGTGTGTGTGTGTGTGTGTGTAGGTAGTGTTTATGTTAGGTACCCAGTAGTGTGTGCTGAAGAGACAGTTTGTTTATATGTGACAACTGACTCACAGACTCATTAGTGGGAACTAAATACCCAGTACAATACTGCATAATTGCTTTTATTTCTTTTGCTCATCATCTGACTGACTTTTGACAAAACAGTCTGAAAATTTTACTTCAAGCCGGAAGGAGGTTGTCTTATTATAAGGACTTTGGATTTTGGGATCTGAAATAATGTAAGAGAAGTTGGACTGTTGTATAGAGTATGGTGAAGCAGCCATGGCTACCAATATCAAAATTAATAATTCCATATTTGTCATGGGTTAGGCAGCAGGTAGGAGGTTAAATTGACTTGGAAGGTTTGGAAAAATGGCCAAAAATGGAGCAACTGATTAGCACTGCAGTCTGTAGAGTAAATAAAAACATGTTTTTTTGTTTACTCTCTTTTGTTTGGTGAAAGGGTATACAAGTCAAATATGTGCCTTTAACAGTTTTTTGTGTGTCCTAAAACATATAGTGTGCAGCCAAGTTGAATAAGAGTCCAAACAAGAGTTGAATTTTTTGCCTAGGCTCCTATATGTAGGCTTGACTTACCATACATGTTACTGTATATCATGAAATATTAGCAGTAGTTTTGCATTCCATTTTTTTTGGTGGCCTCTCTAACTGCAGGCTCATCACACTACACACATGATGCTCTGTTTTGTATTGTTTTACTATACAGTTATTTCAACTGGAACTCAAAGAGACCACAAACTCTTGATTCTCACCGCACCATGGAAATGAATTGATGCAAACTTAAATGAATTTACAGTAATATCAGCCAGTATTACACACAGAAGATGAAGCGATGAAACGTGGCTCCTACTCCACAATCCTGAATGCATCAAATATTAATAACAGAAGGGCGTGGCGCGATGATGAAAAATGAATGGCACTGAGATACATGTATGACCGAGTCTCCCAGGTTTGGTGTACACTGAAGAGTTATAAAATGTGATTGATTATGCTGTTCCATTGGGGAGAATGGGACGTGGGGTGATTTTATGTATTACAAGACAGAGTACACACCCAGTTTCCAAACACATACTACATTGACTGACATAATTTCTTTAAAGGACTCATTCATGTAATACTCCATGTGGGTATCCTAAAAACTAGTAAAAGGGTGTCGAACCACCCCAAAAAATGGCTGCATGATATATAACTGAAGGAATAGCTGGACATGTTACGGTATTGTTACCTCATGGTGTAGGGTAAATGTGCTCAACCTACAGAATAACTAATATTAATACATTTCCTATAGGTTGATTATTCTGAAATTGGCCATAATACAAATTAAACATAAAACTCGTGCAAGATATACCTTCACCACAGTGACTAAACCTGAAAGACAGTGAACTAGAACAATCTCTCTGAAAAATGGATCTACCAAAAGCTTTCAAAGTACAGCCCCACCCTAGCTTGACTAGATAGCAATCCTTAACACAGTTTGCCCTCAACATGATTACATTTAGTATGTCTTTTCCTATCACTTGTCATCAGCTTTATCTAAAAGAGCAGTCCCTGCAGGGGAACATTAACAAACTGTAGGCCAAGTGAAGAGATTAAAAGTACAGGTCTGGAGATGGGGGAAATCCTCTTTTATTGCCAGATCCCGTGCTGTTATGTTTGAACGACGTTAGCGCAGCCGTTGGGACTGATTGATTGGACGTTCTCATCGACGTAATCCCGGCAGGGTCGGATGGGAGGACTTCCCGCCCACGTGTAGCTGCGCGGCTGTGCGTAGGCGGCGGCTGGCGCAGCTGGAAACCTCATGTGACCGTGATGAAGGGGGGAGGGGGGGGAGTTCTGCAGTTCCTAATTTTGTCACTGTAGTTTTATGTTCACAGTTGTCACTTCTGTACTGTGAACTTATAACTACAGCTAACACCATAAATTGCTGACTTTCTTTCTCTACCATCGTGAACATATATAGTTCCATGAACACCTCCACTTTTCTTGTACCGTGAAATTTTGCTACCGTGAGCATTAACTGGTGTGTTACGCCGAAAGGCGGTTATACCGGCTATACAGATACAGATACAGAACTGAATTACAGTATCCTACTGTACTAAACCTCAGTACCCCAAAAACCATGACTTAGTTTGATATATCTGTCATAACCTCAAATTGTCATGCTTCTACATCTATCGGGTTGAAGATAACATACCGTGAAAGGATTACACACAAGGCTGTATTGAGGAATGTTTTGATGTCCAGCTAAAATCTTATGGAATAATCTACCATGTACATGTAATTCCAGGTACGAAAGTCACCTTGGGAAAAATTCCTACGTAGTAAACATGAATATTTGATGGTTCGGTTGCTGAAGTGTGGAGGACAGTTTATTCAGGATTCACTGGTTTTATCTACTGGTTTAGTTGACCCATTCTTGTGTCCAGCTCCCATCAGTCTGAATCACTATAGAGACCTACAGTAAAATCACTACCAGGACTCAAAATACCACTTGCATGTATAATATATGCAGGTTAGTACAGGTAAAATTGAAGCTGTGCAGATATTTCTGATGTTTATCTGCACTTAACCTGCACTGGTCCATTACAAAACCCTGGTCCATTACAAATCCAGAGTTACAGTAGTAACCAGTCAAAAGTTAGACATACATGTACATTTGAATTATCTAAATGTGATGTATTTTTCAACGTACAGAAAACAAACGAAATATGCTTTTGTCATTTTCCAAAAACAAAAGAAGAAAATCCTCTAGACGAAGTATGGTTTTACAGTGTTGGCAAACCGTGGGAACTCATCCCAGTTAGTCCCTTCCCTAAGGCTGTTCCTAATGCCCTTCATTTCCACCAGCTTTATGTGTGGTTTGGGAGTCATACGTCAGGGGTTTAAGAGCTCTATCATACCATTGTAACATTACACACTGTCAGGTGGGCCTGGATATGTACATTATATTTGTAGGCTGCCTATTTTCACCATTTTCTGCAGAGAAAATTATGTTCCTGCGAATATTTCTGCACGATTAATGAGATATTTTGGCAAGAGTCATCTTCCTCTTCCATTACCTCAACAACGAACAAGTATCTTTATCTACATGAATCAGCAGGATATACAATTTTGTGGTGTGGCTTTGTGAATTGAATGTGTTCCAACTATGGGAGACTGAATTACAGTTCAAAAATAGTCTGCTTACATAAGACTGCGGTACCAAAGTTTTAGGTAATTATACCTTAAAGGTTGGACCTCTTTAAGGAGAAGTACCTTGTGCAGTTTTCCTGTGAGTGATCATGTGTGGGTGACAAACATGAATACTTTAGCCAAAGATTAATGAAAATAGCAATTCACATATATCACCGAGACACTGTATTAAAATTTAAAAGCGAACGAAATGAAGGTAACAATACTATCATCCAACCCCACCTCTCTTCACGATGAATTGCGATTTTGATTATCCAGCTTCCATCACTCGTAACTTAATTGATTCCTACAACAATAGAGGTCGATACCCTAATCACAATCTCACCATTTGAGCAGCTGTATTACACTCCAAATTTGATTAAGTTGTGAACACCATGCAATAGCCTTGTTGGAGGCATATTTATGGTAATTACCCATAGAAATTACAGCAACTGTAAAGCTTGAAATTTACTGTACCTTTTATCTAGTTTGGGGTGTGGCAGTCAGAGTCATGTATTAAATGCATTAGGTTTAACTGTTTCCTCCAAAGAGGTATCATGATTGTATTAGTATTATATAATTTTCTATTTGAACTAACTTTATTATGTCATTGCTGTTGAACAACCTTTTAATGAACCAGAAAAGCAGTTCCTAATTATTTTCGATCCATGAAATTTAAGATGGACACTTAAAAATTTTTTTTGGCTCAACATTGTCTTTACCTCATGAAATTATGCATGTGTACGAACCATAGCCAGTTACCGATTGATCGTACTGGTGAGGCTTATGACAGAATTGTTTTCCCAGACACAAATGAGATTGTCTGCTTCACCACCTGTGTTTTGTAGCCCATTATGGGAACAGCAGATAGCCTCTGCCCTTTGTGTTGGTCAAATGTCTTGGAAGGGAATGATTTTTAACTACTCTAGACAGACAGGAAAAGTGCCCAGTTAAGACTAGGAATTGGACCAAGAAAACAGACTTTATAATGACTGTACACATTGTATGTGCAAGGTGGCAGTTAAGTTGGAGCTTTGTGTTGTATTCAGTTCCTGTTGCGGACAAATGGCATGTGTTTCTCATGCATATGAATCTAAGGAAGCTACTGGTAGGTACATGTATAGTCAATGATCTTTATCCCCCCCCCAAATAAATATTGCAACAAACTGTGTGTGTGTGTCACTGTGTGTATGTGTGTGTGTGTGTGTGTGTGTGTGCGTGTGTGCGTGAGTGAGGGAGTGAGTGAGTGAGTACTGTAAGGGTTGTATCTTTGGGACTGGAAGAGTTAGTTGCAAAGCAGTATGGGTAAGGGGGCGATGTCTGCCATATTCCTAATTGTCATGTTCTCTGCCTGTGTTTTGTAGCTGGCCATGCCATCAGAGCTCCTGGAGGGAAGCCTGGCAACAATGACCTGCATCGCGACTGCAAACCCCAGACCCATGTTCTACTGGTACAGGGATGGAACAGAACTCAGGTCAGTACCCCTTGTTGTGTCTCAGGGATGAAACAGCACTCTGGTCAGTACAGCTTGTCTGAAAGGGATGGAACAGCACTCTGGTCAGTCCAGCTTTTCTGAGAGGGATGGAACAGCACTTTGGTCATTACAGCTTGTCATGTCTCTAAGATGGACCAGCACTCAGGTTAGTACACTTGCCATGTCTCAAGGATGAAACAGCACTCAGGTTAGTACAGTTTGTCTCAGGGATGGAACAGCACTCAGGTTAGTACAGTTTGTCTCAGGGATCATCATCCGGGGATGGAACAGCAGTCAGGTCAGTATAAATGTATCTTGTTTTTGTGTCTCTATTAGCCCCAGGTGGCTGAGAGAGCAGAAGAAATGTCAGACATTTTCTACCCTGCCAGGTTCAAGGGCACGGCCTGCAGCAGTTCCTGTATCCCAGGGTCAGGTATTCTCCCACACATGGTCACCAGTTTTGTTTGTACTCTTACTGTGCAGTAATGATAGTAGCAATTCTTAGAAACTCTAAGTAAGAAAAATGTCTTCACAGCAGCAAGATGTCATTGTCTAGAAAAATGGACATGTTCACAGAACTAAATCTTCACAGTGGCCGCAAATGATTTGATAACGGTAATGATAAGTTCATGGTAAAGAGGTACAGTACAGATCAGGAATTTCTTTAGTACATGTACTTATGACCAACAGTTTTGCATTTCCACAGAGATGGAGAAAACCGACTGATCATTTCCATCACCCCCGGCAACACGGAGAGCATCCTGACGATACAGAACGTGAGAGCGCGGGACTACGGGAACTACACCTGCCGCGTGGTCAACAACAGAGGAGCGACGAAGGCTTCCGTGTACATCGGTACTCCACCAACACTTGTACCAACCAATGGTAAGGATTTGTTTTACTGTATTTCCATTTCACTGTTGATGTACAGCATGTCAGCAGAATGTACTGTGGCTGCACAAAACACAGATTTTTATATGATTTTCATCGGATGTTTGGTCAATGTTGCATCAGAATTTTACCCGCTACAGATGATATCTTTCCCCACACAACATTAATAACTATAGACGGGTTGTTATCCTTTAAATTTAATATGCAAATATGACCTTAAAAGAGACATTATGCACAATAAAGTACGTTCTGCCGACATTTTGGGCTGTACAACATATGTTAATAAGTGACAATAGCCAAGCAATTATACAGAATAATTTGACAGGGATATTCATAGGGAAATAATTGTATGCTGTGTGATACATTTATGATAAGAGCCTTTACCTGTTATTAGTGACTACTTATTTGCGACAATGATTACTGTCTGCAGATTTCAAGTAGATCACTAGGTGGCACTCCTTTACTGCAAGTTTTTTTTTATCAGCACACCAGATTGAAGTTAGGATAAATGACTAGTAGATACATTGTAGTTAAGACAAGAATATAAAGATGTGTATAGGTTATAAATGCTAGTTGATTCTATTATATATATTAGATAATTGTTGGCATTACATGTACATACATTACATACACATGAATGGTACATACATCGTACATGCTCTCTACTGATCTATCTCTTCCATTATTCTATCTCATATTTTACTTTCTAACAATCTAGGAGACTGCTAAGTACTGTTAATTTTTTTTCCTTTTCTAACAAATTGCTTACTCTATGCTGCTGTGCAAAGGTTCGAGGCATTGGCAGAACTATAGCAGTAAGTCTGGCTTTCTGCTGTCTATATGTGTGTTCTTCTGTCAAGTGTGTATGTCGCACTACACATGAAAGAGACCTCTGTAGAGTATTCTAAATGTCAGGGACAAAGAATGTCATGTAATGTGTGTTAAAACTTGTTTTGTTGACTGTTTTAAACATTGATAAAGTTACTGCCCTTCAGTACATCACACTAACTCAAAACTTGGCAATGTGAATAAAAGTTGTTTGTAAATGGATGTATATTTATTTCTACAGTATATATATTTCTTTTTATCTAGTTCCAATTCTTGACATGTTACTGACTTGTACTTACAACGTAGCACTGTGCTGTTATGTGTATGTGACTTCTCTATTTAGTAGTTTCTAGTACTAGTAGTTTCTCTTGTGTAAGCTATTTTCACTATGACATTGAGAGAAGAACCATGTCAGTAACTGAGGTCACGAATGTAGCAGACATGTTTTCCCTGGTCACAGTACCATAAATAGTACTTGGACGTCCTGGAGTATTTTTGTGTGTGTAGCTAATGTCTGTTGTATGGGTGGACTAACCAGGGTCACTGTTTTATGCCCATGTTTTCTGATGTGATGCTACGCTTTCACTATGGACAACTGTTTCCCTACAAGTAAGACAGCCTTCTTCCCTTTTAGTCACATGTATTTATTCACACAAAATTTAGAGCTAGTGAGAAGTCCTCTGGGTTTCTTGCCCAGCAGTTATTATCATCACATTGTATATAATGTACAGTAGTTTAATAATGTGTACAGAGCTTTTTATTACCTGTGTAAATATGTATGCTTAAATGTTGGAATGTTTAGTCTGTGTATTTCCATTTAGACTCCAAACTAGTGCAGAATTTATTTGAAATTTCCTTTGCAGTCATACTTAGCACTACATGTACATATAATATATTATACGTGTATATTTTATAATATATTAAGAGTTATTACTGGTTGCAAGTGTATAACTTTAAGATAATATGAATGTTTCCATATCAGTATTCCTATGAAACATAGGAATAAACTTTCATACATACATGATGTAGTGTATATACTGTTTCAAAACCAGTTCTACATTTGGTTAAGGTTACATGTACCTTCTTATGTATAGTATCCAAAGTATGTAAAGGGTAAAGATGCAGTCAATCAACTGTAACATAGATATATTGTTGCTGCATTTGTCAGGTTCACATTTCACTCAAGGAGATAGTGTAAAACTAATACTGTAAATGTAATTATCTTCACAGTGGTTTTATTTTCACAGTAAGAGGAAAAAGACGTTTTTCGCAGTGTTTGAAGTTCGCGGTTGAAATATGTCTGTAGTACAGTAGTAGAGTGATAAACTGTATATAGAGTCATGTAGAAGTATCTGTATTTTTACCTCATAGCTGATGATGATGATGATGACCTCATAGCTCTGTACAGTCTTTTCTTACATGGACTAAAGATATCTTTGCAGATACACTGTAGTAGTAACCTGTTTGTCTTGTCTTCTCTCAGCTCCCATAGAAACATTCACCACCGGACACAAGGAGGAATGCCCCCCTAAATATGACGGCTTCTGTCTACATGGTGGCATCTGTTTCTATGTGGACCAACTGGGGGTGGGGTGCACGTAAGTACAACTCATTCTGTGTTGTACAGTTACCTATGTCAAGAGATGCACAAGGAAGTTGTTCAAGCAACTGGATAGGTTTTGAAAACTGTTAGACGATACAAGTAGCATCCACTGCTCTTTGTCAATGACCATCACTGACAATTTCCTTGTGTACTAGTATCTCATTACCTGGATGTCTAACCTACATCGACATAATTCAATGAGTCTTTTGACATTTGTAAGATACTGAATGCATTGTACATTAGATTTTTTAACAGTGTTTGAAGAAAGCTTAAAATTACATTGTAAAAAGTGTGCACATTATGGACCCAAAAAAAGGTTTTGTCCACATTTGACTGAGATTTTTCTAGGTCAGCCCTTAATAATGCCTACATGTCCATGTTTGTATCTCAGGTGTCCCATCATGTATGAAGGAGAGAGATGTCAGTATGGCAGCACAGCGGCTCAGGCGGCAGCGAAGCAGCGGAACATCGCGTACGGGATCGTGGCCGGCGTCCTGGCGCTGGTTCTCATCGTCCTACTGGTCTGGTTCTGTCGCAAGAGGAAATGGCAGGGAACATACGTGGTCGAAAATACCAAAGTTAACGGTAAGAAACGCAGCTTTGTTCTTGTTTTTTTACATCTGCATAATATGTGAGTCTCTGTAAGTCTATTGTCTCTGTGATGGGGATATACAAAGTTTAAAAGTAAGTGTTGTCTAATTATGCATTGGGAGTCTGCACATGATAAGGACAAATATCAACTATACCTTCATCAATAACTGCAAACAGTTACAGAACTTTGGCTACCCCTTCACACTCAATGCTTGTCATTCCATGCTAGTCATACGTTATGACTTGTGGACTGGACATTGTACGTGAACTGAAATGTGTGTTTGCTAGTATGAGCTTTCAAAAATTGCCCTAAAGTCAGCAATTCCAATTCAAGGTAGATGTCATCATTCTATCACTTGCCTTTAGAAACACACAAAATTGCTGTTATACACGTAACTGAAAAAGAAAAAGATTGTGGTTTGAGTTAATTTTTGTTTTACGGGAAGAAAATACATGTACATGTATCACCCACTCAAACTTTTTCATCAGACTGAGTGAAAGTTGTATCTCTGAAGTTGAAAGGAAATTGTATGCTTCTTGTTTTATGATTATTGTATGGTTCCAGTGACATTGATCTACATATATACTAGTAAGTCATACATGTACCTGTCCACATGTCATGACCCTATTTAAACCTGCTCCCCCCTCCCCTCCTCCCCCTCCCCACAGACTCTACCCACCCTCTGCCCTGCTCACCTGCATTCTGGGCTGGCTTTGCTATAGAGGGGAGGGAACATTATGTGGGCAAGAACTGGAAACTGAATGGTAAGGCAGGCACAGCACATGTACACAATAGTCTTCTTGTACACTAATGAGTTACACTAAACTAATAAGTTCCAGGTTTATTCAACATGCAATGTACTATCATATGACACTAGACTAATATAAAACTACACAGAATTAGTATGATCAGTTTGGCAAGAGACTGTACATATACATGTACATGTATAAGACTGTACTTTATTCAACAACCAATGAGTTTTCACATCTGTTGAATAAAGAACAGTATACATGTATGCATTTTGTAATCAAATATTGCTTGTTAATTCATAGAAATGTATGCATAATATGGGGAACCTAAACTTGTAATAGGTAATAGTTTTTCCAAAATCTTCCACCTTCCTTTTCCTCACATTCCAAACTTATCCTGAAGATAGAAGTACAGTCCAACCAAGAAGGCCACAGGTTCAAGAAGACCACCCAGAAGACAGAGGTGGTCTTCCTGGACAGGTGGCCGTCTTGGGCAGGTCACTAATGCTTGCGCCTATGGAAAAAATTTTGGGCCCTAGAAAAAGTGGCCAGCTTGAAGAGATGGCCACTTGGTAGGTTTGACTGTAATACCGTATTGTGTTATGTACAATGGCCCAGTCACCCAAGACCCCCTATGTCTCCTCCACAGGGCATGTTGAGGATGTAGAAATGGAGGATGCCATCTCAGAAGAACCAGAGGATCTGCACGGCAGCCGAGATGACGTCTTCATCGATGTCAACCACATCAAAAACCTTCCCGACATGCAAGACACAACTGTTTGACACATCTGAAGTCTAGTTACCTACTTGGACATAAACTTCTGTGAAGTACAGAGATACCGGTAGTCATTTTCCACTCGCAGAAAAATAAACAAGCAGCATCTTGCCAAAACTAACCTCACTGTCATCTAAGAACAAACTTTATACAAACCTGAAGTTCTACATTTTTTATGACTTCCTACTTTGGTTTTTGATAGCAAATTGTACATTGTCATAATTTTCAATGATGATTGAGTGTATGTTGGTATTTATGGCAAGAACTATCAATGTTGCAAAAGGGAACTTTTTTATTTAGTCATTGTCTCATAAAATTGAAACACAGATTTATACAATCCATCTGTTTGTGCGTTGACATGTGAAAGTTGTTTGGAGTAAACCATACTAATACAGGCAACATCATGCAAGTCTGGTCAGATATGGAAACATTGTAACAAATACAGTGTTGTAGACAAAAATGAAAGTAAACGTAGCAGTAATTGTAAAATTTGTAGATTGCAGAGAATGTAGAAAGTCACAGATGGAAGTCAAGACGGGTATGATATTGTACAGTATGCTGTGTGAGAAATGGAGAAACATAGATTTCATCATCTTGTGCATGTTGCAACATGTAGTAAGAAGGTAGGTGAAAACTTCATGTCACTCACTCTACAGGTACATTGTAGTTCTTCCACCAGAGTTGTAAATTCCTGAATTCTTCGTAGTAAAATTAGATTTATTTTTTATCCTGTACTTAATAGCAAAGGTGTTGGAGAGGAGTACTTAAAAATATTGTGTCTTAGATATACACTGTATGTGAGCCTTAAACTATGCACGACTATTGTAGGTCTGTTTATAAGTGCAATTTTACATTGTATGTACCAAATAGTGTGATAATCAAGCACCTTGCTTGTGGCCAGTACTTGGTTTTATTTGACTGCACAATACTTATATGGAGTGGGTTGAAACTGGGTTGCAGAAATAGTTACTTTTGCCCTGTCTATGCACATTTTGTAATGCAACGGGCACGAGTGTATGTGTAAAGTAGTAAGGCCTAGATAAAAAAATGCTCTTTCCGGTTACTTGACCAAACTGAGCAAAAACCAACCTTCTGTACCCCTAGCCTTTTTTAGGGTCAACTGCTGGAAAGGCCATAAAATTTTCCATCTGACATCTGAATTTAAAGCAATCTGAAACTTTATGTCACACATTTTCGGAAGCCAACTTTTATTCAGTGAATCAGGTGAAACATTTGTCCCTTCCCCACAAGCAAATGGAAGGACAAGGCCTACATGTAATACATTTCAGTTGTACATTGTTGGGCTGTATCTGTTGAACCAAGATCTAAAAAAAAATTATTTCAGGGCAGTAACCGGAAATACAACAATATTTCCCAGGCCTAAGTGGTACAATGTATTTATGTTTGGTGCTGTTCCATGCTTCCATTCAATCAATAGCCAATGGTCAGTGATACGCAAATATCAAGCTAAGCTAAGGTGAAAATTTTATTCTGCTGGAAAGATTATATGGTCTTGACAATGGTCTACTGATTTCTTGTTGTATGATCTTCCAGAGGGAAACATTAATGTGGCACTAATCAATGTACACCCCAAGGGGTAGGCAGGGGAAGGGGATGTACAGTAGGAAAAAAAAAATGCTTCACCAGTTTCTTTGCATTGCTGCAGACATGTCAGATTTATTTCTTTAGTAGTGGATTTTCTGTGAAATATCCATAATCAGGTTTGTTTTATTGAGTAAAAAAAAAATAAATAGCACATATTACCTACATCCTTCTCCTGTCCATTGATAAGTGCTACTTGTTTGGAGCAGAAATGATGGTGCCAGTTGGTGACTTGGCACTGTTGAAAGCCATTCTGGTTGTGTTTCTTAGAGTTTTGCCTCCAGTGAAGTCTTGCATTCCAATGTTTTGCTGTTCCTGTGCTACCGGTGGTATCTTCTAGCGGCTGTGCCTTCATACATCAGACCCAAGTAGTGCATTGATTCAGACATCATTGACAGATTGAGGAGCTGAAGCTACATGTATATAGCAATCGTTTACATCATTTTCAAATTCACAACTATGTCTTGAATTTCCAAGCTTGTGACGTTACCTTAGATTGTATGGCATTTTTGGCTTCACATTGCCATTGAATTTTGAAAAATGTCTCATTTGATTCCCTATAATTCTATAGGGGGTATGTTAATTTTCATATTTGGCAGTGAAATGCAGCAAAAAGCTACTTCTTTTGTACACAAGTCTTCACTCCTTATATTGGTTTCCAATATACCAATAAAACCATTTATAGACTACTAGTACTACATGTATTCAAGTATAACCACTGTACAATGTATTACGTTGTAGACATCATGACCATTCGTAAAATGTAGGACCGGTACTCAAATTTTAACAGCGTAATCCATTGAACTGCAGCATTACAAGTCTGTTTGTTCTGCTATAACTGTTCGGATTGGGCGGAACAAAGACAGAGAATGGTTATGTTTTTTTCTGCTCTCGTTTGGTATCAGCACATTTGTAGGTGTCTGGTAGGATGAAACTATTTTATAACGATTAGGAACTGTTTGAAAATGTGTTGTTGTGGTAATTTTCTGCCATCCAGAACATCTACATGCTACACCAAGATTAACTGTAAATAAAAAAAATCTAAGCAGTGGTAGCAGTTTCTGATTTTTATCTGGCTTTTTATAGCTGTTGATATCATGTACTGGGATATTAGTACAACACCTTTTATAAAAAATATAAGGCCTGAGTCTATATCGATGTAGTACATTGGCGGTCTATTATCGCCATGTAACTACGTTACCTGTAGGTCCACTACAACATCAGCTCAGTTTTGTCCTGGACTGTAATCTTTGAAAACAGTAGATTTATATAATAAGAATGGTGTGTTGTTGTGTTAGACACTTCATGCCTTCGTTATGTACTTGATACATGTATTTTGTTGCAAGGGAGTCACTGTCATTTTGCTAGGTATTCTAATCTTGGGTCAGAACAGTTTGATTTGTTGGTTCTCAGAATTTGTCAAAAAAATATTAACCCCCCAAAAAACAACAGGTGAATGCAGCCAAAAATGCTATGATAGGAGCTATGATGAAGTCAGCATACTAGGCTGTTTTTTAATGTTAACAATGAATTTTTAACTTTTAATGAAACCACTGCATTGAAGAACTGTTACAACTAAGAAGAGTAGGCCTTTCTCCAACTGTTGCGGCCAAAATATGAGCATTTTGGAGCTGAGTCAGAACCCATTTTTTTCTCCACAGAAAAAAAGGAACCAGGGGAATTTGAGAACCGATTGAATATAGATGCAGCCTTACAAAGACATGGAAGAAAAGTCCCTGTATCACCATCCTCATCATTTGCCTCTTCTACAGTTTGACTGCAGGTTTGAGCTTACCTCCTCATGTTTTGTCTCCATGGCACACCATTGTTGCTTTCATGTTTGTTCTCATTGGTATTCAGAGTTGTTGTATGATGAACTGAGAGTAGAACATGTACTAAGAGATGCACTCCACAAATAAAACATGTTTTCACTCAATTCATTCCTGCATTCTTATTACTAGTATTACAACATCTTCAATCAGACTCCCTTCCACCATAGTATTTACCATATGAATAAAAACCAAGCAGATAGTAGGGGTAGAATTGTAACTTTGCTTGTCTGAACCTTTGTCCGCCATTGTATGGGATGGTTGCCTTTGCCAAAAGGGTATGTTTTCGGTATGTCCATGACTCCATGGTAGAGAGGCTGTGGTGTGGGTCTGTATGTATGTCAACAGTATAACTCAAGAAGTTGTGAATGGATATTCATGATATTTGGTAGGTGAATAACAGTTGTGGAAACGAAGGTCAAGTTCAAAAATGGTTCACCTGTTGTGTTCCTACGTTGATGTAGCGGGTTGTGTACAACCAGGAACATGTCTGACCCAAGGAGTAAGTGGTGTAAAAACCCCTAGCACCTTGTTATGGAACTGCAGGGACATTTCTTTAAAAAAAACTCTGAAGAATGATAACTCAGAAGCCGGTAGACGGATTGTCCTGATTTTGTTTTGTACGTGACCAAATTAGGTACATATTGTGCACATGTTGTACCCCTGTAAAAACCATTGTAATTAAGAACCAGCATCCAGGCCTTTTCACATACTTGTCTTCAATGTCGATCTATCAACATAAACTTTGAGATGAAAAAATATCTTCTTGGGGTTGAAAGATAAGTAAAAGGACAACATTTGCCAAGTAAATTTGAAGATTTCACAGTTTATTGCATTACTCCTTATCATTGACAGCATGAGCGATTCCTGAATCCATTCGTATTTTCCATCTTATCTGCTATGCCTGCGCTTGGTGATCACCTATAAGATACTAGTAGCATACATGTTAAGTGTACGTATCATGATTGCACCCTAGTAGAGACATACGCGGCTTCTGAACTGAACTCTAGCATATATTGATAGGAAACAGGGCCTATGCCGGTGCCCTGTTACAGCTGCCCACTGTCGGCGATGACGATCTTTGCCGAGGTTTTACCAGCCGGCTTGCTGCCGTAGCTCTCGACAGCCGTCACCACGTCCATTCCCTCCACAACACTCCCGAACACTACGTGCTTGCCGTCCAGCCTGAAACGGAAACATGAGGCATGCGTTACTTTTTTTCATGTTGGGGTACTAAGCAGCACCACACGAGATTCATCATTAGAAAAGTATTAACTTACCAGTTTGTCTTTACAGTGCACAGGAAGAATTGTGAACCGTTGGTGTTCGGGCCAGCATTAGCCATGGACAGGATACCTGGGCCTACGGTAACACAGAAAACAGTAAGCTACAGTTACGACAAAATGCCACAGCACTTACAGTGAACAGTAACGGTATATCACAGATCTAAGCAATTGAGCCTCTTTTTCCATGACAAGCTCTCCTGTTCTAAACTTGGGCAACTCTACATTTTACAGGGAAGTTTCAGTCCTGAAAAAAACTATTTGGGATTTTCTTCTTTTCTTTCTTTTAGATGTTGGCTAAAATGATCCTACAAGTTTAACAATGTATTGGGGCTGTTTCAAGAACCCGTCCTCTTGTTTTCACCCGATTTACTGAAGGTAAAAGAATTGCTTCTGAAAATGCATTAAATGATGTTTCGGACTTCTGAGGCTTTGAAATTGAGATGTCAGATTGAAAATTCTGTAGTCTTACCAGGGGTCGATAAAAAAGGCTCAGATCGACAGGATTTGCTAGGGTCGGTTGGAAAACCGGAAACAACATTTTCCTAGGCCTAAAACAATCTTGCTGTGGCCGTTCCTCTTACCAGTGTGCTTCAGCTGGAAGTTCTCATCTGCAAACTTTTCGCCGTAGATGCTCTTGCCTCCGGTGCCGTTCCCCCGGGTAAAGTCACCCCCCTGGCACATGAACTGAGGGATGACACGGTGGAAGCTCGACCCCTTGTACCCAAAGCCCTTCTCTCCAGTACACAGGGCACGGAAGTTCTCTGTACAAGACAAAGAGTGTAGTTTAGCTCGGTAAGTCAAGTTCTAAGCTATGGATGGATTGTCTTAAAATTTGGTAGGTGGGTAGGTCTTCACCTATTCAAGAAATGATTAGGTTTTAGACCCCGTGCTTGCTTTCCTTTGTACTGCAGCATAACAAGTTTTGAAATCTCTTGTTCTGGGCAATGCTAGGGTCATGATTTTTTGGAGGCAGATACATGTAGCAATACAAAAATACAAATATGCACTATCTTGACACACTTTATCACAAAACTACAGTACAGTAATTCAGTACATCGCTACATGGGGTCTGAACTACAGTGGAGGGACTAAATATTATGGCAGAAATAACGAACACACAAAAATATGAGACTGAACTTATTAGTGTAATGGGTGATTAAGAGTAAGAGTAAGAGTAGCCTTTACACTGATGATATGGTACATAATGTACATGGCATTCAATTGTGTGTCTTACCTGCCGTCTTGGGGACAACATCAGCTCGGAGCTGCAAAATGATCATAAAATGTCAAACATGGGTGATGTACAATTTGTAAGGCAAAAATATCACAAAGGAGGCTGGCCATGATATGATTTGTAATGGCAAGACGGTATCCGATTTAAAGAAACTCGGTGCGATTGGAAGAACAATGCATTTCATAGTGCTTGGCTAAAATACTGAAGGAAATCGGACATTCCAGAAATTAAAGACGACAATTTCACCATGGATTTCTTGACGCTCAGGGAGTGTAACAGTTAGTCCTATCCAGGTGTGGTGAAGCCATGAACGATCATGCGACTAATAAATTCTCGAAGACGTTATAAAAATGAAGCAAATTGTGTAACCTACCTCCATGGTAATACGCCCCAGAGGCTTACCATCAGCGGTAATGTCGAAGAAGACCCTTGGCAAGGCCATTTTTGTTCAGGTTTTGCCGGTAGACCTGTCTGACGATAGGGTAGGTACTTAGTGGACTTATACAAGTTGACCCTAAGAGTTTGAATTTCTTAACTGTTTCTTAGTAGACCTTAAGAGTTTAAATTTCTCAATTGTTTCTCAGTAGGAATAGACCTTGTGATAAAAACATGTTGGAAATGTTTTCGATTGGTAAATCAGGATTTTTTCCTCTCAAAATTGTTAACACCACGTCTCCGCTAGGGTATGCATACCATTGATTGCGCAGGTGGCATTTGATACATTTACTTCATGTCATGCTATGACATGTTTTGTTTTGTTATTCATGTCATTGCCATGTTACTTCATGTTGTGTTATGTCATGTTTAAATAGCCATAAATTTCTGCTTTGTGAGTTGTTAGTTTGCCGAAGTTGAGAAACCGGTTTGGTAACCGACTGGGGCTAAAGCCCTCCGAAGCCCCGCCTTCATGTAATCACATGTCCTGATCTCGCTCTCTTATTGGAGAAGTTACTACATGTAATTTGATTGACACATTTTGCAACATGAGCCCACCAAGACACTGACACAGACATAGAATAGTAGGAGTGAAGCCATTGCAAATTTCTTCGGTGCCAAGCGTTTGGCAGCCCGGGAACAGTTTGCCACGAGACGGCCACGCAGCAATGAAACAAAATATTTAGTGACTTATCTTCTTTTTCACCTTCCTAATCTTGTTCCGGCCTGATAACTTTACTAAGTTTACATGCAGTTTACCGGTAAATTTTATGGCTAGGGCTCAACCAGTTGAAAAAAAAATGGAGCACAGTTTTCGACAGAACCACCTGCCAACAAGAATTTAAGACCATATTTTCAGTAACAAGATTGCTGATTATCATAGCGATACATGCACTATAATATCATCCCAAGAACCCAGTGTACGTATGTGTTCCACGACCGTTCGACGTATGTGACACGTGGCAACTTACCCTGGGCTGAGTTCGGTTACAATTCCATGTCCGATTGCTGCTCTCCATATATACCACTTTGTCTACGGTGCTAGTGGTTCGTTATCTGGTACATTTGCTCATGTCTATGCAGTCTTACCTGCCTTTGCTCTTGTTAGAGTGGAGACCAAGATGCACACTAGTGAATTCGAAGCTGATCCGGGTCGAGAGTAGCCCTCAAAGTGTCAGGCGGTGATTCTGGTGTGGACGCTACTGCCGCTCACGCCCCTCAGAGTGTCCTTTTCAACTTTTGGAGATATCTGGGTAAACCTGAAGCTGATTGGAGGATAAAAGACGCACCTACAACGGACGCCAATAGCTGCCTTCCACAACTTGCCAATTCAAAATGTGGACGAAAACACAGACAGTACCAGACACGCCCAGTTTTTTGGCAACTTGTCAAAAGTTTGGAGACCTCACCGTCTCTGTGAAATACCTAAGCTTGTAAATTTCTTTTTTCCTATCTGAAGTACAGCATTCGTTATGCTTTACGTTACAGATGCCACCTCTTAGGCTCCTCCTGTTAGTGTATCCTCATTGACAGTCACTGGGTTTTACAACGTCACAAGAAATGGACGCCTTGCATGCGACAGTTTCGGAGGCAATCACTGTCAAACATTACACATTACTGTCATACATGTAAGTGTTGACAAACTTAGAAATCATGCTTAGATCTCGGGTTAAAAGCTTGAGGAAAAATACATAGTCTTGGATCAAGTCAGTCTGAACCTCTGACATTTTTTTAAATTTCATATGTGCACAGCACAGATACTAAAAGAACTCAACGGAGAACTTTCTGTGTTTATCCCAGGGTAAAAGGGTAGAGGTCGAGACTGTGAAACCTGGAACAACCGGTACACACGACCTTTTGCATGACTCATTTGTGAATGAACAAATTTGTAACATGTTAGACGACCTCACCACTTGTAAGGGGACATGCGTCCTCTTCATATAAAGCTCATGGAAGGGCTTTGAAGCATGAATTCACCGAAGCAGGATTCATGTTACCCCGTCTGAAGTCAATCCACCTGCGGAGGTAGTTTCGAATCGGCTTTTAACGCACCCCGACTTCAGTCTGAAATCAATTTGGCTTCACAGGTTTACTTTGCAGATGGACCCGTTCATGGATTATGGGGTCATTTTCGGACAGTGTGAGATAAAATGTAGTTCGTCTTCTACGAAGCAGGAACACTGTCAAAAATACAATATATATATTTTAAATACATACAATTGTAAAACATATATATTTAAGAAGAATATATATATACTTTTCAAAACAATGTATATATCTTAAATACATATAATTCCAAAACATATACAGTACGCATTTTACAATAACATATTTTCAATTCATTATGTATTTTGAAACAATACATGAAAATAAAACAATGCGTTTTTCTAAAACAAGTGTGTCGAAAACCCCTATCATATGAAGACATATATTGTTCACAAAAAGTGGTGTTTCCAAAACCCCTATCATGCACGCGGTAACACTGTTAAATCTCTCACCAGATTTTCTAGCACGGACGACTACATTACTGTTGTGTGGGTGAGAGAAAAATATATAACGTTATATCAACTTATATGTTTTAACAACTGATTAAGAGGACTTATTTGCATAATTATCATATTACGTCAGTCGTAAAGCATATCATAACAAAATTATGGCCACTTTGCCTCATGGCATGGTGACTGTCTACTTCGTTACGATTAATCTAATTTTTTACTTAATCGATGATTAAGAAATATGCAAATCCTGGTGATCCAATATCAGGTGGCAGGACCACGCCGTTTCAAGATGGCGAGTGTGTTTTGAAGGGGAAGAACTCGGCGGTTAAAATTCGGCTTGAAAGACGCGCTGCGTACGTTTTAGTTGGTGAGTGCCGCTTAACATTGTCCTCTATATTCTCGTTATCATTGTAAGTGAACGTACAGGAACGAAATGAAGCAAAAACACGGAACAGTGTGATTTTGCTGCGACGATGCCAAAATGGCCGCTGGAGGGCGCCCCTTTGCGTGCCCGGAGATGTTTGATAAAAAAAACGCTGTAGAAAGTCAGTCAAGCTCACTAGGAACCTTCTCATTCAATTACGGACATTATATCAAGAACGTGTATTTGAACCGTACTAGTTTACCAGCACCAATGCTAAGTTCAATGGGGTGCATTTCGTATGTTAATTACTAGGTGGCGCTTTTAGACCGCGTAAACTGTACCATGCCATGCTTTGTTGTGTTGATTTCAACAGCAGCATTTCGTCCCAGTTTCTTCGGTGAACTTCTCGGTGTTTGGATAAATGTATTGGTATTCCGGGGCCAGTAGCTGGCTGCAGGGACAAAACAGCTCCGGGCTAGGTGAAGGTAACATTGACGAAATGACACACTATTTGAACTGCGTTTCCATGTGTCTTGGTATTTGACTGTTTAAGGTACTGGTATTTCATTCCTGTTTCAGATGCAGCATTACTATCAGAAGTAGTTTGCTTAGACTCTTCTTTTAGCATGAAATGTGTGTTGTCCATTATTTTGACATGACATCTTGTGTGAGATCTAGATATATTCACATGCGATTCTTTGGTCATGACATTCTATATTTTTACTGTATGTCTATGTTGTAATTTTGCTGTGCTCTTCTTTTGCCTCACTAACAATAGTCAATATTCCATGTTCTCTTGACCTCAACCCAAAGCATCCTTTCGAACTGTGAATATTTGTGAATCATTAAGTTTCTTGTTTAATGACAATATCACATGCATGTTCTGTAAATACATGTATTGTGAATTTGGCAATATGATTCATATTATGAGCTGTATTTGAATTTTTTAAACTGATACTTACAATGCAGGACCATTTTTGTGCTGTTGATATAACTAGTATTTCACTGCACAGCTTCGGACACAGCATTTAGCTTCTTGTCTATAACGTTAATAGTTTCATTCACTGCAATTTTCTAAGGAATGTTCTGTCAACATGAGATGTACAAGTATGTTAACATCATTAGTGTGTAATTTGTTTTTACGTGGTATCTTGTGTGAGATGCATTTTTATGTGATTGCTGTTTGGACATGATATTTTCGTGTACATAAAAAAATACAACTGTTCAAGTGAATGTTAATGTGACTTGGTTGTTCTTGTCTATTTTTCCATGCTGCCTCACTAAGCTGGTCATGTTGTATGTTCTCTTTCCCTCAACACAAAGCAGGTGATAGAACGTTTACAAATCTTGTCGATATGATGAAATATAATCTTGTCTGATGATATGCATGTTCAGTGAATATGTATGTAATGACTTTTCTTAATGCATTTTTCTTTTACACCTTAGGTTATTGGAGGTGAAACTGATACTGTATACCTGACCATGTAGGACCTGTCCATCTCTTGTGTGCTGTGGGACCTGTCAGCTATCCTGTGTACCTGACTAAATTCCAGGAGGACCTGTTTGTGTTCCTGTGTTTGCTGGAGGGTCTATCTGCCATAGTCAAGAGAACATCGGACTTTAACTGTGAGTTATCTTTCATTTCTAGAGCTCTTTCAAAAATAGGGTCTGCATACTGCAAGGCGTAGTCAACCATTTTGATTTTGCGTAGTTCGTTGCCAGGCTGCTCTGATTTATCACTGAACGTAATCTGTACATTATGCATAAAGCGTCCAGCCTGCACGAGTTATACGTTATTCGTACGCCGAGTTATACGTAATACGTTGACGCTGCTTTCCGGGAATTAAGCGCAAAGCGTGATCGCGACCTCCTCTGCAGATCCCTAAAAATGACAACAATTTTGGGAAAGGGCATGTCTGCGATCCTCTAAATTTTTTAGTTCCAAACACCATTGTTGAAACTGGCCCTCCCTGCATGCTATTGTTGTCATTTCTGAAAGAGCTCCCATTTCTTATACTAATATCTAGTTTAAGGTTGTGACTAATATTTTATTGCAGATATGTTGGAGTGCTCGGTACATTTTCCTATAGAAGAGAGAACTCACAATATTGTCTGCTGCTTCATTCTGTATGGCAATGGGATATATTTTCAGAAGCATTTGTGATCAAACTGTTTTCCCTGATATCCTTTTCATCATGATCCACAATTCACATCCGCAAAACCATTTTTGAAATGAATATTGTGTTCGTATCAAAGAAAATAAAGTGTACAAGGTGAAACAATTATTGTAGCTGCAACAAACTTTTTAGGCCGTACTGTGAAAGGAAGTTTTTGTGTAGTAGTCAAAAATGGAGTTTAAATCATATGGAAAGAAGAAAGACATTTTTGTAAGGATCTTGAATTTCATAAAAAAAGGCTACGATTTGGTACAATGTATTGTGACAATATGCACCGTCCAGGTTTTTCACAAACATAATTCATGAAAATTTGAGGTTTTGAGAGACGTAATGATTATACAAACATAAAATGATAAGGCCCCTTTTGGACACAATTTGAACATGTGAGTGATGTTCACTACCGGTACTCATCTAAAATTTTCAGTGAAGAAGTGGATTTCAGGGAAAATACTTTGGTTACATTATGATGTCTGGAAATATGTCCCATTGTTGTACAGAAAATGGAAAGGCAATGTTGTGTTTTCTTTCTGTAGAGTGAAATGTACTACAGGAAACTTGTGTGTGTTTGAAAGAGAGGAATTGGGTTGTTAGGGAATCAGCCAAACAAAATTACAAATTGATGTACATCTATCTTTCACAAGGATTATATACTCATTAGTTGCTTTCTACACAAATGTAGCTATAGCAAAGTCACGTTGTAGACTGTGAGTTTAGGTACAATGTAATGATAAATTAACTAAAAGGTGTTCAGGGATCAAAGGTACTTGACAGTTGCAGTTGATATATTTCAAGAATTATCTATTGAGCATTCACAGTAAACTTAAAGTACAAGTTACTGAATTGCGAATCAATGTACATTTCATTTTTAAAATCCAAAAGTTTATACTTTTGCACATAATGAAGTTAAAATACAGAATCATTAGGAAGTTAAAATACAGAATCATTAGGAAGACCTACATAGACCACAATAATTGCACATACTACTACCTACATCACAATAGTTAAAATTTACGACCAGAAGAACGGTTAAAAGGTATGAGTAACCTCATGCGATACAAATATTCCAAATATTCCTGATAAATAGATTGTCTGGTGTACATAACCAAACTTCAACTGTTAACAAATATTTCTAAACTTCATGGTAATAAGTAAGGACGCTAAGGCAGGGAGTAAATAGTGTCCGTCAATGTTCAGCAGATGACACATGTAGGGGATTGGTGAGTTTTTGTAACGAGTCATGCGACAGTACGGGGTGTCAAGTTTGTGCGAATTACGAGTTTGTCTTCCCGTCATAGACAGCCTGGTTGGGGGTAGCCAGTCTCGGAACTCTATGTTTTACACAT